TGTCTGATAATTGCAGCCTAGCCTGACCGATAAAACACAGACCTTTGCACCTTGTGACGTTTCATCATTTACAGTGGCACTTTAAGAAAGTTTTCACTGTTAGTGTAAAGAAAAAATAGCGACAAAAGATAATTATGGTGAAATGATTTTATTTCAACCATTTAGTTTTCCTGTGTGTAGAATAAAAAGTGAATTTATCTACAAATGTACTTTAAGTAGAAAATCTTTATATTATAAAATTATTTCTACATTTATACAGGAGAGAAACAATGTAATCAACTGATGTCTATGAAATGGAAATATTTGCTACATAAAGCAATGGATATTTCTGGAGGATGAGATGAGAGGAACATGTTTTTTAGTCCTTTAGTGATACAGCTGGCAGGTGACAACAGATTAAACACTGTGGCTTAGAACACAATGGACAATAAAGGAAATCAAGGTCCTCCAAACGCTCTCACGTAGGTTGAGACACTCATAGTTCCTGCGCAGGAAAGAAGTTTGACTTTTAGAAAGACCGTGAGGGTGTGTGACTGTGCCGAATAAAGGCCAAGAAAAGAGCATCCTCTTTCCACAATTCTGCCACCTTTCTCCCTTCTCTAGACCACACTTTCCTTTGAAAGAGACATCTTTATCTTCTTCCCAAATGCAAGTTGCTCAATATTGCACATGTTTCAGCCGACTTATAAATATCGAAAAACAAAACCTCACCCCAGAAATGCTTCTGACGACATCATTGTGCCACATCTTTGATCCTGGCTGGCCCTCCTCACTGACACCGTGGTCACGGAGGGGTGCAGTCAGTGCTAAGTGGGCCCGGACAGAGCCGCATGCTCTGCTGAGACCTGTGGGGTGATGGGAATGGCCGATCAGAGTTGCTGGACAGTGACTCCGGGCAGGCTGCAGGAGGTGGTGTGGCTGGGAGACAACCTGAGCTTCTGCAGAGGTGTGTGAGGTGCACTCGGGCGCCTGGCTCTCCACCTCCAGGGCCGGCCGAGGAGGGACACCTGGTGGGATGGGCATGTGGACCTGCACTTGAGGTGAATTAGTGCCACAGGAGGAGCCACAGAATGAAGCATTCCAAAGAGCCAGGACTCTGCTGGACCCCCGAGAGGCCTGGACCTTGAGAAACGGGAAGAGCCAGTGGAGCCTGGCCGGAGGCAGGAAGGCTGCTGTGGGCGGGTGACAGGGCAGAGGACGGCAGGCAAGGTCAGCACAGCTGGGCCAGCGGGGAGGACACTACTGGCTGACACTTTGTTTCTCCCTCCACCCCCTCTCCTTCCCAAAAGGCGTCTGGGCTAGTGGATTGGAGATAAATGGAAAAGACATGGTGGGGGCGGGGGGCAGGGGTGTGGGAGAAAGAAATATAGAGACACGAATAAAGAATGAAGTGGAAAGTAAAAAATAATGAGAAAGGATGGCAAAGAGATGCTATGTGGCATTGAGCAGGAGTTATGGCCCACGGGACAAAAGGACAAGAAAACATCTAGATGAGGTCAGAGGGGAGGAGAAGCAGGGACAAGAAGTTATAACACGGGAGAGTGAGGAAACAGCCCCGCTGGCCTTTGCAGAAAGAAATGGGGTTGTAACTGCTTTTAAAGGGCATCTGGACATACTCCCCCTCTTCCAGATGAGCAGACTGGGGCCTGGGGGAGCTAACAGAGAGAGTTGGCTTCTTCTGGACTTCGGACTGCCGTAGTCTGCCCTTCCGAGTGATGCGGAAACGTGGGAGACGGTGTGGGGAAGGCTCTACCCTGGGGGGAGCTGTCCAGGGGTCTCCTAGGCACCTTCCTCCCAATTCCTCTGGGATTTTAGGGTTCTAGGTATGAGGGCAGGCTCCGTATCGTCGTGAACACTTAGGGACGACAATGGGCTTGCTACAAAACTTGGCGAAGAATGTGTCCCACCTCTAAAGGTAACCCCAGAAGACATGCGCTAAAAAATATCCTGAGCCATAACAATCAGGTGTTTGAGGTGATTTCTCTGAAAGTGAAATGCTCTAAGTTTTGGTGTGGTTATGAAAAACAACTGGTCACATGGTTCTATTTTCAACACTCTTGGGTAACCATCTGGGGGAAAAGAAGCCCCTGTTTTTTCCGGATCTGCTTTCAAGGGCAGAGATGGGTAAAGAATGGAGAAGGATGGGGAGGATCTCCTCTGCACACCTCCTGCAGGCTGCGTGTTCTCAGCCCCGGGGGCATCAGCACATGACAGAGTGGCTTGTGGGAAGGCCCAGCTCAGCGGCCGGCCCTGGCCAGGCCCAGCGAGGTCCCGGGAGAGTAGGGCTTGTGGGAAGAATGTCCTGCCTCTTGCAGGAGATGCTGGCCCTCCTTGTGTGCCTGCCAGTGGAAACCCTACTCATTTCTGAGAGGCATTGTGGGCTGAGAAGGAAAAGGACAAGCCGTTTTAGAAGTAGAGCTGTAAATAATCTGTTCCTGTCCCCTGCTTGCAGCAGAGCCCGAGGACAATCAGAAGGTGAGGTCTTACAGCGAAAAGATGGGAGTGAAATGCAAGTCAGTGACTTTGGGGCTGAACTGTTTGAGCCTTTGGTGAGCCCGAGAAAGGAAAGGCCCTCTGTGGTCTGTCCCTGTGGCAAGTCCCTCTCAGTAAAGATAACGGGGCTCAGAAAGGAACTAGTGGCTTGTTGAAGGAAACATGAAAACTGGCCAAGCATTTGTTCACTCAGCCAGTGAATGATAATGGGGTGCCCTTTACACGACAGGTGCTGTGCGAGGTGCTCCATAGTACCTAGTTTTTCCAGGTACCTGATTTCTAAGTCATGGCTGGACACTTCTGAGTAACACAGGATGCTCCAGAAAGCACATCTCCCTGTGCCATTATTGCCAAACATCCCCCCGTTCCCGCTTCTTGTCACACTAACTCACAGATTCACTCATGGGCGCATACACAAGCACGGACCCTAACATGGGCTTGGGGTCATTAACGGCACAACGCTTTCATGTATTCACAACAGAACATCTTTACTTTTCTATCCTCAATTGTAACTTGTTTTTCTCTAAACTGAAACTTTCTCAGTTCATTATATCACCAGTAAGTGCAGTGAAGACATCAGCCTCAATGTCCCATAGCATCTTTTCTACAGTTGATGGGGTGCATGGCCTTATGCGTGCATTCACACAAGCTTACATAAGTCACAGGCTTATGTGACCATGACCAGATACTCCAGGACACCGTGTGTGTGTGTGTCTGTGTGTGTGTGTGTCTGTGTGTGTGTGTCTGTGTCTGTGTGTGTCTGTGTCTGTGTGTGTCTGTGTCTGTGGCCTCAAGAGCTCCACCAGTTTTTCATGAAGGGCTGATGAACTTAACAGCCATGACCTCTGAGTTCTGCACTTACATAAAGTGTAGGCTGGGACCTCCTGCCAATAGGTGTGACTGCCCAGCGAGGCTGGGCAGAGAGACATTGCCAAGGCGGCTTTATCTCCGATGTCTGTGTTTCCCTGAGAAATAAGTTTCTCACACCAGAGCTGTCCTGAGAAACAGGTCACATCCTGTGGGAGGACCTCCCCCTAATGGGAAGTAGGCAGAGCGAACTCTTGGGGCTGCTGGGGGGGCCTTCCAGCCTTGGATAGGGGGCCAGAGGTGCCCTGGGATGTGAGGCCGGAGGTGGCCTCTGCCTGCACACTCACTGTAAAATGACACCCAGGAGGGTCTGTTTCACAGTGAGCTGCTTGGAGAAGCAAGGCTCGGGCCTGTTCCAAAGCAGGCCCAGCGGCAGATGTCTGGGCCGGCCTCTGCGACCAGCAAGCAGTGCGCAGGGCCACCTCCGAGGCCCAGGCTACGCAGGCTGGCGACCTGGAGCAGGCCTGGGTGGGCCACTTGGACCCTTGGGACAGAAAGAGGCTGCTGTCCACACACCACCCGACGTCAGTGCTTAATCAACCGCCGCGCCAGCTCTTGGCCCTGGGCTGTGTCTGCAGCGCTCTCACGTCCACCTCCCGACTGCGACTCCGGGCGCAGCATGACCCCCAGGAAGGTGCCGTCCTTCAGCTCCGCCCGCTGTCCTTCCCTCTGGAGGAAGGCAAATTCGAGGCTTCACATAGGGTTTCAAGAGCACAGGTCTGGGGCTCTGCTGGGAAAGCGCAGCGTGCAGGCAAGCAAACCCTCCTTCAGGCAAGTGCCCTCACCCACAACTGCGTTTGGGGACGTTTCCCGCAGCCTGGGGAGCTGCCGGGGAGGCCCTCCTCGGCCACAGCGTTTTGGTCAAGTCCGTGGGTGATCAAACCTCTGTGCCCACAGAGGGATTCACCGCAGGAAATGTCCCAGCTGCTGCTTATTAGCATTAGAACAAATTACACAGAGCAAATCGCTAGCAGACACATTTCCATAATACTGAACTGGTGGCAATAAATAAGAATGCTTCTCTTTCAACTAAATGCTGGATTTCCAAAAATCCTGCTGCCAATTGTCCATGAAGGAATTGTCTGGATTAGGATGAACCCGGGCGGGTGGACCCCCTGAAAGCTGGCGCTCGGGACACCTGCAGGCCAAGCTTGCAGAGGNGGGGGGATTGCACCCAGGCGGCTGACCGCCTGCCGGGCCCCCTCCTCACAGGGTCCTCATGCCCCAGGGAACCGGCAAGTGGCAGGACAAGGGGAGCCGCGCACCTACTCAGTTCTTCGAGTGTGTTTACGACCAAAAATGAACCAGACCTCCTCCACGACAAAACACGGCAGTTTAAAAAAGTCACCTTCTCCTTCCTTCCAGTTCGGGCTCCGTATCTTGGGCTTAAGAAAAAATGAGAGTCAAGCCTGCTGGTCGTCGGAGCCCACTGGGGAGACACCGAAACCGGCACCCGTGAGCGGACGCCACACGCGCTCGCCTAGCCGCCCACGTGCAAACCCCACTGTCCCTCTAGAAAGAGACACTGTTCCCAGCTTGCAGGACCTGGCAGCGCCTCGATCCGAGTCCTCGGTTCCCTCTGGGCCGTTCCAATTATCTTCAGACATATGACAAAATTTTCCTAAAACAATCTCAAAAACTTATTTAAAAAATAATATTTAATTTTAAGAAATAAGAAATACTCCACAAAGCACATAAATACAAAATAGGTCGCTGCTCCTTGAAGGGTTAGGCCTGTTAGATGAGATGCTTTGTGTTTTCTTAAGAAATGGGTAGTTTTGTCTTCCCTTCCTCACTGGTCTCCTTCTCAAGCAAGCCAGCCTTGGCCACTATTCCCTCCCAGGGCATTTGAACATCGTATTTGGCCCTCAAGGGCTCTTCACTCCTTTTTCCTGCTGAAGGGAGGTGATGGAAGCCCAGGGTACACTTGGTGGGCACTCAGGGGGGCAGCTTCCTGCCCAGCATGTCCAGTCAGCGCCAGGAGGCCAGGCCCGGAACCCGGAACCAGTCCCCAGTGGCCTCCAAGGCACAGCCTGTTGGCATTAGAGGGAAACCTGGCAGTAACAGCCTAGGGGGTCTCAGCCCCCTTGTTGCAATGCCAGGGAGGCATTTCAAACCAAGCAAATGTAGTCGCTGACATGCTTCCAGCCGCTTCCTCCCACTCTTCCAAGAACAGTGTCAGGAACACACACACACCCGACGTCTCTTACCTAAAGTCTTCACAAAGAGAATAATGTGCTTCGTAAAATACTTCAAATGCCATAGGCTGTCTCTAATTTTGTAAGAAAATGGTTAACAGACAGGTATAACTGGAAATGTTTGGGACGTGAACACACACACACACACACACACACACACACACACACACACGCTTTAATTTGGAATTATGCAAAGCTATACCATTATCCGCCACAACCTGAAGCGAAGCTACTGCAACACAGTCACAAGTATCGAATCCGTACAAGTGTGAAGCCCCCAGATCAGCTCACATCTGGAGGAGAGTGATACGCATGCCTGACTCGTTAAGGTCTGTTAGCAAAGCTATACCATTATCCGCCACAACCTGAAGCGAAGCTACTGCAACACAGTCACAAGTATCGAATCCGTACAAGTGTGAAGCCCCCAGATCAGCTCACATCTGGAGGAGAGTGATACGCATGCCTGACTCGTTAAGGTCTGTTTAGGGGAAATGGCCTAGCATGCTTTACATTTGCTAAGCTATTTAGCTGCCTAGTTTGACAAGATTTTTGAAAGGGGTGAAAATTAATTATCATTGCAGTATTGCTACAATAATTTGGGTGGCTAATTGCATTTAAGTGCAAAAAGAAGCAATGAAGAATTTCTTCACTGGGTTATTCTCTGACATGGCAGCATTCGTTTGAAGACCAAAGAGATTTTAAAAAATTTAAACCTTAAATATCATGGCTCTAGCAATCTGTCCTGCTTAAAGTTTAATGCAAAACGACATAGCACCTCTGAGAGAGGGGCCAGTTTCACGTGAACCTGATCCAGTTTTCCCCTAGACTTGAGACAGGAGAATCTCTCTCTCCTGAAAACTACTCAAAGTATCTCTTTGACATTGTTTGGGGATGATTTTAATTTGGGGACACCAATGTCCATGTTGCTGTAGTGAGGGAGGCACTCGTGAGGGTGGGGAGGAAGTCCGGAAGTCTCTAAACAAGGTATGTGTTCATGGGAGAGGCACAACATGCCCCAGACGACTGAGCACCAACCGGGGAGGGAGCAACAGGGGATGACCCGGGATTTTCACTGTTTTCACACTGGCAGTTCTGAGTACATAAACCATCAGTGGCTTTTTGAGGGCAATTCCCTAACTCTCTACCAGCAGCGAGCACATGCAATTATCACACTCTGAGAGACACGGTTTCTCACTTCCAACCTTGACGTCTCTGTGCCAAGGCCTGATTCAGGGCAGCTCCCTAAGGGGCCACAAACACACACATCAGCCTGTTCCACCACCTGGTAATGGCTCAGTTGCCTGGGCAGGTTTAGGACCCCCTGCTCCTTCCCTTCCCTGCCATGCGGTCAGTCCAGCCACCATCTGTGGGCCTAAAGAGGATTTTGCTAAGGTGCTTTTACATCCACGTGGGTCTGACAGCAGGGCAGGCAGTATTTCTTAAATGTTAGAACTCCATCTGTGTTCGAACTGATCACAGAAGATCAATATGCATATCTCCCCAGGGTGGCCCTCAGGGTTGTGAGCTCACGTCGCACCTGGTTGAGACGGAAGGATGCTGAAATCCCACCTCTTCACACACAGGCCAAGACCCCTGCTCAGAGGAAGGCAGTGCCTTTTCCAATTTGCATTTGGGCCAGTTTCCCTGACCTCACCCACCCAAGGATCATGAAGTCTAGTTCACGTCCTCACCTCCAACACACAATGTTTTCTAAGGAAGAGGATGTGCCCATGGCAAAGATGCTTTTCCTACTCCTGAGAGAGGAAGAAAAACAGAGAGCAAAGAGTGGACACAGATAAAAAGGAGAATGGGGACAGGCCGCCCTCTGCAACTGTGGATCTGTTGTTCGTCCCTGGACACAGCTGCAAAGGGGTAGAAAATCAATTTTTTCCTATTACTCCACAGTGAGGAAGGAAAACCCATTTGCAAATTGAATTAAATCCAATCATAGCATGTCTGTTTGTTGAGGACCAGAAAAATTAGCCACAGATACAGCTACATAACCCAGCAATGTAACTAGCAATCAACATGCTCCCATTTCAAAGCTCAGCTGAGACATTTTCCTTCCCCTTTTTAAAGAGATGTCCCCAAGACCCTTCGGCCCGCCAGCACGTCAGCCACTCGTAAGGACCCCGAGCCCATGTGGAAGAACGTGCCTCCAAGCTCCTGCCTTTGGGGTCTGCACACCGCAGTCAGCAAGGATTGGCTAAGAACTAGAACTCTCCAGAAGGCGGTTTCTTCCCCAGCGGCCGTCTGTGGTGCTGACGGTGGGAGCATCCCCAGTGTCCGTGCAGGCTGGATCCTGGGCGCAGAACCCTCCACTGAGCCCCGAATCCCCGGTTCCGGGAGCGACGGTCCTGAAATTTCATTAGCAGTCTGCCCCCTAGTGGCACAACACAGCACTTCGGGTAACTCGGAAGGGAAAAGAACTGTTTTCCTCTCTTTCAGGGAGCAAAAGAATTCAAGTTTTTCCAGATAGCGCAGGGTGGGGCGTTCACCCTCAGAGGACGGCTTCCAGAGCCGAGCAAGCGGGGCCCACGGGGCCCGGGGCCCAGGTCGAGTCCGGGCAGACGGCGCCACGCGGGGCTCTGCGCACAGCCTGCGGGGCGGCGGCCTCCCCACGCCCCTGGCCGGTGTTCCCCTTGGGCGATGGCCGTCCGTCCCGCTCTCTCGTTTTAAAAAAGCGGAGCCACTCCACCAGCAACCAATCTATCAGGAATGTGAAAAGGAGGAGGCTTTTTTTGGTCATTTGTTTTTGGCAAATCGTTCATGTGGACGAGCCTTTCTGAAGGGCCGGGTGGGAGTTTTGAGGTGACGGTGCACGAGTTTCCTAAGAGCCCAAGGAGCTGGGCTGCCGGTTTTAAGAAGAGAATCTGCTCGCGACGGCGGCTGGTGTGGGGACGGCGGAAGATGCCCGTGAGACCTGCCGCCTGGAGTTTGCTTCCAGCTTTGAAACCCTCAGAACTTGGCCTGCTTCAGCTTCTCGATGTGGTGGCACAGCTTCAGCGCGGGTCCCAGCTTCAGGCCCAAGTACTTCATGACCACGTCGCTCTTCAGCAGCAGGAGGGCATTGCCATCGATCTCCTGGTGGGGCAGGACCAGAGAACATCCGGAAGATGGTCAGAGTGATCAGATAGGGGCTGTGGTCCCAAGTGCAGCCAGCGGATGAGGGAAGGGACACGGGCTTACTTAGCTACAGATGCTCTTATCTCCAAGGCGAAGTCTCCCTAAAAAATAGGCTGGAGCAAACAAACCCTGCATGTGCCCCTCTCCCCATGGGCTCCCTGGGGCCGTCGCTGCCCTGGGCCCTTCACGCGCCTTCTCTCTCCTGGCTGAAGGCACCAGACACACCCCGGCCACGTCCCTGCGTCCCACACATGATGTGTGGCTCCTCTCCTGGGGCTTGGGGTGGGCAGGAAGTGTCCAGTGGACTGGCTGGCTGTGTCCCCCCATCACATGTTGGAACCCTCACCCCAAAGTGATAGTATCTGGAGGTGGGGACTTTGGGAGTGAATTAGGTCATGAGGGTGCAGCCCAAGTGGGGTCAGTGTCTTTATACAACGGGAAGGTGGCTGCCTGCAGCCCTAAGAGGCCTCTCGCCAGACCCCAGCCGTGCTGGCCCCTGACCTTGTCTGCCAGGCGCCAGAACTGAGCAATGAACCGCTGTTGTTCATAAGCCAGCCAGTCACTGGTGCCTCATTTCGGCGGCCTGGACTAAGGCAAAGTTCACCCACTGGACTCGGAAACCAGTGGTCACCTTTCCATTTCTGATGATGTAAGGTCCTGACTTCCATCAATCACCCTTGTCTCTATTTCTTTCCTTGGTAATTGCACCTATCTTTAGCTGATTATCAAATTGCTAATTAAATTCTATGAGCGACTTCACTGTTTGTGGCCCTGTCAATGCTGCAAGGGGCATACAACTGAACGGCGACCTGCTTCCTCCCCGGGGTTCTCCGCAGGGAACTCCCAAGGGCATGTCGACCCCCTGAGGTCCTGGTACCGCTCCTGGTGGTCTGAATTCATGAACCTAGCAAGGCTGGGTCTCCTCGTCCACCTACAGGGCTATTTTCAGGTCACAAGAGACAAAGGGTAGACCTTTTGGGCACCCAGGGGAGAGCAGAGGCAGTCACAGGACTCATGACTGTGCAGGGTCCCCAGCCCCTCATTCATCTCTCCATCCTGCCAGCCAGCATCACAAGGCACCTACTCTGTGTCGCTCACTCTCAATGTCCTTGGCAAATGGCAGAGGTCACTAAGAGCCTAAAGTTCTCTCTTTGACCCCCACCCAGGCCCCAGACTTCCATGCCTGCCTCCATTCTGCGAGAAAGCCAGCCTCCTCCCACGCAGACCTGTCTACACACAAGCCACTCTGTGGTCCTCGCTCTCGAGGTCAAGGTCAAATACTTCCCTAATAAAATGTGAGTGTCGGGGTAGATAAGGAGCCTCTCCAGATGGCAGAGTATGATTCTGCGACACAAACATCAAATCAAATGAGGCAGGAAGGAATGGAACAGGGGCAGGCGGAACGTGCTTCTCCCCTCCCACGGGGCATCCGCCTCTAATCCCCAAAGCCTGGGACTGTCGTCCCGCGGCACAGGGGTGTTGGGGTGGCGGATGGAATTTATAACAGGGAGCGTCCTGCAGAGCCCCGGCGTGCACCGCAGTCGTGGGGCCAGAGACTGGAGGAAGTCAGAAGAGCCACAGAGCTGGTGGCCCGAGAAGGGCTCAGTGTCGTGTTACTGGCGTTCCCGGTAGGCTGGGGGCATGAGAGCGGAAACTGAGGGCGGGTCTGGATGCTGGAAACGCCAAGGAAACAGACCCCCCCTGGAGCCTCCAGAAAGAATGGGGGCCCTGCTGACACCTGCACCTTGTCCCAGTGAGACCCCTGGCAGGCTGCTGACCCACTGAGTAGCCTTTTCTTCCCATTAATCATCTTTATATTTCAGAATCTCCTAAAGAGTGATGACAATACCCACTAATTGAAGGCCCTCAGCCACTGTGCTGAACCCTTTATGTGCATTTTCTCACATAATCCTCAAAGCAGTTTTGGAACAGCTGCTATAACAGTCCGCCTGGCATGCTGTTGTGTGCTATGAGTGTTGCATGCCCAGGTAGATGGATGGGCAGGAAAACAGGTTCTCCTGAGAAAGGCCAAACTGGGAGACCAGAGGGGACAAATCCCCCAAATACAAAGTTAAGTGGCTGTGCTGGTCTGAGAGGCCTGCGATTCCATCTGGCCTCCCTGAATGGTGCCTCCGGGGCTTAGATTGGACCCCTCACCCCTGCAGTCCACAGCGCCCTGCACCTCGCCCTCCGCCCATGCCCCTCCCCACCCACCCGGGGCCACCCCGGGCCAGGCCCTCCACGCACATACATGCTTCCTGAAGAGCTCTACGTGCGGCCCCAGCGCCTGTGGGTCAGCGTCTTTCACGAACCAGACCACATCCTCCACGGTCCAGGTGGATGGGTTCCTGCTCCTTGGCCGCCTGGCATCCTGCCCGTCTGGAGAAGGGCTCAAGGCTGGGTGGGTGAGCACAGAAAAGGAGACCATTAGACACCCGGATGGGGGCCTCAGTGCCTCCCTGGTGCCATCTGCTCCCACCTGGCCTCTGAGTCCAAGGTGGCCGCCTCCGTGTCCTGCCACCACCGTGAGAGGTTGGGAGTGGTTACAATTGTCAGGAGCCCAGAGTACAGGAGGCCACTCCTAGAGACAGACCTTAACCTTCTATGCAAAAGTCCTCTGCTCTCCCAAGGAATTAGAAAATGCATCTCTTTCAACAGGCAGCAGTTCTGATCCACGACAGAGTTTTAAAGACTCTTCTGCTCAGTTCTGTCCCTGTGGGCCCTGGGCCTCTTATAACCAGGTGCCCGGTGACCACAGCTTGCCAAGATGACTGTCCAAACACCCTCAGAAGCCCTGGCTGGGAGATGTCCATGCCAGGCTGCACATGTACAGAAAGGAGCTGCAGTCTCACCCACAGCCCAGGGGCCCACCGGGCACCCCCACGACCCTCTGGCCTGTCAGAGCGCTTACTCCAATCTGCCCCCGAGAACGGGAAGTCCTCCACAGCAAAGGGCCTGATCCTGTGTCTAGTCAACAGGTGGCCCAACTGGCCAACTGCGGCACGAGCTGCCGTGTCACCTAAACGCATTCCCACGCAGCACATGAAAGGTGACAGGTGAAGGAAGAATGGAGACACAGAGCGGATGCCTGGCCATATGTCCGGGCTGGTGCTTTCTGGATGTCCCACACTGACACGCCCTCTTTCCCCAGAGCTACCTTCTCCTCCCCACCCTGGCTCTGCAGCCTCAGGGGTACTGCCAGCACCTGCTTTGTCTCTGGCTTCTGCTTCGTCCCCAGCGGCCGGAACCACAGCTCCAGTGAGATTCTATTTGACTTCGCCCCCAATTTCTCTCTGTCTGCTCCTGCCTTTATCGAGTCAGCCCACATCTGAGTCCTCGTGACCTTCACGGGGCCCTTTGAATTCTTTCTCCAAGCAGCAGACCCTACTTTCCCTTGGTGCTTCCATTGCCAGATCCTGGGGAGCAGCGCACAGAGGGCCCCACGACCTGGGAGGAGCCGCACCTCTCCTGCAGGAACCTGCAGTTGCCAAGTCTTTATTTCGTTTCAGGCTTTCCACCAGCCTTCAACCGGGTGGGGTTTCACATGAGGAGGGGCTGACGCCTCCGGACGGGCAGGGCCTCCACCCCCACCTGTTCGGGGAACCTCTGCTCCTCCCTTTCTGGGGCTGACGGCTCCACTGCACCCTCTACCTGCCCCGCGGCACCTGGCGGCCTGCGTGCCGCTGCTTCTCATGCCACTCCTTCTCCGGCCACCACAACATCCTTTACCATTTCCATAGCAACTTGTAGTGATGCCATTTCAGTCACCAACAAATTTTTTACCTCCTCAACGGCATGTCGCAGCCCGCGTTCTTGTGCCGCCTATTCTCGTGCTTCCTGCAGGAGGGTGTCTTTCTCCCTTACGGCCTTTCTCGATATTGTGAGAAGAAAATTCCCCACCATTCCCACAGCCTCACGGGCACTCTGTTTCTCTCAGCAATTCCCTCATTTGCTGAGGGCCAACTTCACCACCTCAGGTGCTGCCTCCACCCCCTCCCAGTCACCTCAGACCACACATCCACTGGGGGACACTCGACTGTCTCCCCATCCATAGGAGTAGCCTGCCGCTCCCACGAGGGTAGCCTGTTCTGTTCCTTGGTCAACAATGAATCCTGCCGACTATCGCCAATTATCAGCCCTGGACAAGTTTGCTATGGATTCAATGAGACTGAAAAAATGACGGTGGAATATTCTTGGGGTGAAAGGGTTTATACCCAACTTTATTCCTATGGTGGCAGGCCAGTTACTAGAATTCCATCCACTCAGAGTGAACCTGCAAGCAGCAAGCTGGTCTCTGCCTCTGGGCCTCTCTGTCCCCGCAGCCGTCTCAGTCTCTGTCCTCACTGCCACCACTCCAACCTCTGCTGTCCTGCAGCCGTGCAGCCCAGAGTACTGGGCGGAAATCTTTGTATATAGAATCAATAACAACATATTGCCCACATGTGTGCTGTGAGCAAGCCAACCAGGGCTGGGTGAGAATCCTGGCCACAGGAACCCTCACTTTCTCCACACCTTGTATCACAATGATGCATGTACTTGTCTGTAACCTCCAGTTCGATTTTAACTTCTTGAAGATCAGCTTTTTCATCTTCCCCCCATTCATTCTGTAAACATCTCCTGAGCATCCCTTCTGTACCAGGTCCTCAGCACAATGTGGTAAAATGGGAGCTGCTCATTACAGGGTTTACAGTCACTGACTCCTCCAACAGCTCTAAGGAAATATATTTGCAAATATGGATTCAAGAAATGTGAAATGAATCAACATACTTTGCAGAAACAATGCAATTTATACAAAAGCCTGTGCAGGTGATTCTTAGTCCTATTTTCAGGCCAGAAAAAAAAGTTGAGCCTCTGAAGAATGAAGCTGCTTGCCTGCAGAATAATTCCAACTTTAGAAGTTAGGAAGCCTTCACTTCCATTTCCCTCCAGTAACCTGTCTCTTCTTCCTTCTCTTTTTAATGTGCTTGAGAAGTGCACAGTTCTCCATTAATGTCGAGAAAAGTACTTAATCACATTTCTGAGTCTGGTTTGGCTGAGAATTGGATTTGCTTTGAGATTTTCCCTGCCTTTTTGTCACTGGGCCTGGAAGTGCACGCTGAGGTGGTCTGGCACAGGGCATTTTCCCGGGTCCCTGTTACTGCCCCCGCAGCCATCTGTATGCTGGTGCACGCTTATTAGAAATGGTTTCGCCGCATTTAAAGACATCTGCACTCAACACGGGGACGAGGAATCATAGAAATCGCATTTGCCTTTGGGTCCCTCCCCAGAGGATTTTTGGTGTTAATCGGGGTGACAATAGATGCTCTGATCACAAAGGTAGAAGTCCTTGGTGCCAAGAATGATTTTAGAGTGATCACAGGAGAGGTCAGATCTAATATCCTGTGTTTGACAGGAAGGAAAAATACCAGACCAAGGCACAGCACCGTTCTCAGGGCCTGGGCCCTAGAGCAGGTTCCAGGAGCCTCTCTCCACCCACCACAGCCCCGGGGACCCAGCGAGGGGCTGGCTTGTCTCCAGGGAGCTGGCACTCTGAGTGACGGTGGTGGAGGCAGCTGCCTCGCTGCCTGGTGCTTGCTGAGGGCCTTTGCACTTCCAGGAGGGAGGGGCAGTGGCCAGGTGGGCTGAGATGCCCTCGGAGGGCCTTGGGGTCAGACAAGGCAGGGCAGCAGGGACCCTGTCACACTCGGGAGCCGCTCAAGATCCAGAGAACGCATGCATGCTCTAGAAGGAAGGGAAATGAGACTTCCCAGTGCAGGTTTGTAAAGCCTCTGCTGAGGTCTGTGCTCACAGTGAGCATGCTAGTCTGACCCACCGGCTCTGAAGGTGTCAGGAAGACAGATGAGTCCGTCTGACACAACCAGGTCAGGCAGATAGCATTGGACAGCAGTAAGACATGATGGATGTGCAAAAACCTTTCTCCTAAAGGAACGGAGCAGGCAAAGCTCTCGACAAACACCTCTGTGGGAAGGTGGGCTCTCCGGCACACAGGACTTTGCAGGGTGAAGTCCGTTCACTGGGGGCTGCCGGAGATGTGTGAGAAGCAAGACCCAGCTGTGAACGGATGCATAACTAAAGAGGGTGGTGTTGTCCCTAAAGCTGAAGTTTCTAAGGTCCCAGGACTAGGACAGCTATGAGTCAGTGTTTAAAGCAATCCGAACACGTTCACAGCACAGGTAGGTGAGGCTGTGAGTCCCTCTCTGTCTCTCACACACCCACATACACATAATTTCCTTTTGCTCATTCATAATTCGGAGGAAACTTCTAAGCTAACAATACAATAATGCAGAAGAATGGAACAAGCTACGCGCTGCGAGTCAGAAACTCCTACCACCCACCGGTCATGTGAGCGCCTCCGTGCTTCTCAGGTGCCAACCAAGGGACTCGGGAAGAATCTCTCAGGCCCCATCCTTCTGCAGCACCCAACAGCCAGGCTGCCCCACGACCACTGAAGGAGGCCCCTTCTCACGCACCTGAAAGCCTCATCCCCCCATCATCTGTCCCTGGGCAGAGCACGCTGAGGAAGGGCCAGGGCCAGGCCTCAAGCCCCTGCCGGGCCTGATCACTCTCCGTGGGCCTCAGTCTCTTTATCTTGTTTCTCCAGAGTGTTGTAAGCGTCAAGTGACTATGTGGCTTTGGTCTGGAGCCTGACCAGACGCAGCGTGAAGGGAAGCCCGCCAGCCCTTTCTTAGATGGCCCAAGTCCCCTCGGCCCCCCAGCCTCTCTGGCAGCTGGAGCTGGGCTGGGGGCGATGCAGGGCAGGCGCAGGGAGGGATGCAGCAAACTGTTTTCAGTTCTCCTGGAGCCCCGGCCCCACAGAACACATCTCTCCTAGAAGCAGGGCGGGCCACACAGAGCACAGGGGGTGCCCGGGCTGCCCCACAGTCCGGGCACCATCACGCAGTTTGAAATGGTGCTGTTTTTCGTTGTTCCTATTGCAGGCGTTTGCGAGACACTTATGAGGAGAGATGGGTGAGAGAAGAGAGCTTGGCCAACCCTTAGATTCTAATTGGGTTTTTCTTTTACTTCCTCAAGATCAGCGGGCCTGCCTGTACGAGAAGAGGGGATGCCTCTAGAGACCAGGAGAGCCCGTGGGCTAGTGCTGAGGCCACAGGGGGTGGGTTCCCTGTCTGCCACCACAGACACTGCAGCCCCTGGGCAGGCAGTTCGGCCTCTGCCAGGGAGCCTCCCCACCACCCCTCCCCGCCGTCCGGCCTCCCCTTCCAGCAGGCTCCACTGCCACTTCTCCCGGGAGCCTTGCCTCCATCCCAGAGTGGGTTCCACCCTGCCCGGCCGGTCTGAGTCCCCCACAGTGCCCATCCCTTCCCTTTGCAGCACAACGGCAACAGTTACAGTTGAGTCTGTGGTGCTGTCAACACCTGTCTCTCTGGAGTTGCACAGAGAGGCCCACGTGTGTCTGGCTCATGGCTCCATCCTCAGACCTGGGAAGAGCTGCTGGCATATTGTGCCGAGGAAGCACCTGCTGGCTGGGACCGACCCAAATCCCTCTGAGTCTCACCGATCTCACCAAGCGTGGTAGGATTAAATGAGGTGATTCAAAGCATCAAACAGTAATTCCATGAACGTCACTCCATGATGGCTGACAGACTCGTCTTCTTAAATGCTGTGGCCATCAACTCACTTCCCTGTTCAGGAATGTCTGGTTTCCACAGACCAAGGCCCAGTCTGCCTGTCATGGCCCCAAACCTGCCACGTAACTTCCCTCAGCTCCCCCCACAAACTCCCTTCTGTCCCCAGAATGAGTGAGTTCGGGCCACGCCTTTGTTCGCCCCACCCCGCTCACGTGGCGGGCCATCCCCTCTCTCCCTTTTCTGGCTGAACCCTCTCTATGTGTCACCCAAGGCCACACCCCATGGAAGCAAATTCCAACCCATGGGAGGAACCTGGATGTAATAACAATGCCAGGTTTATTTTGTTCCTTGATTTTGAAGCTTGGACCCAGCTTGGCTGGGAATTCTGTATCATGTCCTTTTAAATGTTTGAGTTAGCAAGTTTTTGTTATCCGCACTCGCGTATAGCTCTGGATGATTCTATCTTGGTAAAGAGATGGGGAGAGCTCTCCGATTCTCACTGGAGTGTCAGCGACCACCAGGGAAATGTGTCCTGAGAACACGTCCCTTGTGAGTCCGCTGGCAGGGGCGACACATGCAATCAAGACAGCAGGAGGCCGGATATTCTCCTGCTCAAGACTGCAGAGAAGTCTGCCATGCCACTGGCACTGCCCCTGCTGCCGGCAGCCTCCTGCATGGCTCTGGCGCCTGCGGTTTTAAACCATTTTCATGAGTGCCATGGGGGGCGGATATCTATCTCTAGGACCCTTCCTGGGTTTATGACTTGGGTTGAACCCTCTTAAGGAGGTATGGTTTCTTAATACGACTGCTTTCACTTGGAATGCAATTTCAGAGCAATTCCGAGCAGTTCTGTGGGTGGAGGGATAGCTTAATAGCCCCCCAGAGGGCGCCCCCCAACAAGCCAGTCAGGCTCTAATTCCAGCAGAACCAAGGACAGGGTGGAGGTGAGAACAAGCTGAGGTGGGAGGGCATCCCCAGGCCCTGGGGAAGGGGGCAGCAGGGCTGAGGAGGAGGAGGGCCACCTGGAGGCCCTTTCAAGGGTCCTGGGTGTCCTGATGCAGGGGCAGCAGTGGGCCAGGACGGGACAGACAATGCATCAGCAGGAGACAGTCCCTCCATCCAAACCGTGCCTCCTTCTCTCTGCTTGAAATCCTACCCTTCAGACCCAGGGCCTGAGATTTCACCAACTTGGATGGGAGAGAGTAAATGGCTCCTTTTTATAGAATGTGGCTGCACCCTTAGGATTATGAGGCGACCCAAGCAGCGCTGTGTTCTGTGGTCACAACCTCAGCAAAGGGGAACCGGGTTGAGGGGAAGGAGTTGAGACAAGGAGATGCGTGAAGCGCAGAGGGACCTGGAGGAAGGTACTGACACCCAGAGGCAGCATGAAGGTACCAGACACCATGGGGGGCAGAGGGGTGACCCCGAGATAACGAATGCTTACTGAATATCTACTATGTGCCAGAGAGCCCGCTGGCCCTGGAGGTAAACCCCAGAACCAAACGCTGCCCCCTTATGCCCTGGAAGATGCCGGTTTGTGCCAGATGCCGTTCCCTTCTCCTCTTCTTATGTGTCAAATAGAACAGTATCTCACCCCTTCGCAAAGCCTTCTTCCTGGACAACCGCCTGTGTGGCAGCGCTGAGAAGGGGTCTGCAAGGTGCCTCTACATTTGGCAAGAGCCCCATGGCCGAGGGGAAGGGTGCCCCGCCCCTCAGAGAGGCCTCCCCTCCGCGGGCCCCTGCTCGGCTCTCCATCCGCAGCCCCAGAGGCTTGGCTGGGGCGGAGGAGGCTCTCTGAGGGGAGAGTGTAGGTCACACAAAATAGCTCATCCCTGCGGCTTATCAGGGCCGTTGGTGGAGAGACCCAAGGTGCAGAACAGAATGCGCCCTGCCAGAGACGACAGCCAGCCCACTGGGAGGCCTCCCTGACCCCTGGCCTAAAGCACCTTTTCTTCAGCAATTCTAGGGCGCAGAGTTGATAGGCTGTGATCTGTGACCACTAATACTTATTGAGCTTTTACTATGTCCTGGGCCTCATACTAAACACACGTGAGAACTTATTTAATCCTCCTAACAAACCTGTGAGGTGGGCAGTATTATCATTATTCCACTTCACAGGTGAGGAAACCGAGGCACAGAGAAGTTAAGACTTGCAAAAGGTCACATGGTCAGGAGGTGGCAGATGCAGGCAGGATTCCAGCCCAGCCTGTCTGGGTCCACAGTCCCTGTGACCATTCACTACGCTCTACAGCCTCTATTCACTCATAAAATACTGAAGCTTGAAAATGACTTTTTTGAAAATATAAATCCATGGTATGGATTTACATGCAAGTCGCTCCTAGAATGGCAGCACTTTCATACGCTGCAGCTCAACAAGCCATTTTTCCCTGGTGAGACAGAAGTGGCCTTCCAACCAGCATTGTGGGAAGGTTGCTTAACTCTGGTTCAACTTGTGTATTTATATCCTGCAAGTGACACCCATAATACAAATAAAACTCTACCGACATCTGGTTTTCCTTTGCTCGCACAGAGCTAGTCTGTGCCTCTCAGACTCCCTGAGAGTTAAGTGTGGCAGAACAGCCAGCTCTCACCAATGTCCGTCCCTTCCAGGCCCCAGGGAAGGGTGCACGCCTCCTCCACTCTCCTTCCCTTTCTACCCGCTAGCTGCACGGGCACGGACGCTGCAGGAGATGCGGGGCCATAAGATGGGCAGGCCTGGGTCCCTGAGTTAGGATGCACTCACCACCTAGGAATATTCACTTTGGACTCTGGAACAAAAATTAAGCTGTTATAGTTGAGCCAGTGTACATTTGGGAGTCCACCTACTCCTACAACCTAGCCTACTCTAATACACAATTTCTTTGCTTAGGGTCAAACGTTGAAGGCAGCTGCCTTCGAGAACAATATTGCATGAAGGGGCTTGTGGAAACTTCTAATTTCGCACACTCACACAGCCACAGTAACCCCCTGCCCGCTGTGTGTGGTGGCCCCAGGGACAGGGAAAAGGAGGTTAAGTCAGGGGAAGCCAGTGCATGCATTACATTACCACATCTGTTTCCTTCAAGAGAGGTCCCATTTCTCTTGGTGCTGGAGCCTGGGGGCCTCAGCCCAGGTGCCAAGGGGCCTCCAGAGGACAGGGAGCTGGTGAGGGGACCACCAGCAGTGGTGGCCAGGCACCCCCCAAGGGGTCCATCTCCAGAGTTCTGCCTCTTGCAGTACAGCACGGACGAGGTGGGCAAGGAGCCCCTGTGGCTAAAGGCGGAGGCGGAGGGGTCCATGTTGTAGCGGCTCATGCCCACAGGGCTCACCAGGTATTCCTCAGTGGTGACTGTTTTTGCTATGAAGGCAGGGCAGAGAAGCAGACGTCAGAGGGCAGTCGAGAGGCCACGCGGTGCTCAGTCTTGACAAATGTTTCCCCAGCAGCAAAGCCACCACTACCTGTGGGGACGGGCGATGAGAAGGAACGGACCCACATCATGAGCCCAGGTAGCTGGCCTCTCGGCCGATTGCAGCACCTGCCTCTCTATGGCCGGGGTCAGGAGATGTGCCCCTCTACGTTCGGTGGAAAACGCGATCCTCTTGGTTATGGATGACTAGGAAATGAACTCCCAACAAACTGCTCCCTCCATGGTCTGCCCCTCCAGCAGCGTCTCCCAGCTGGTCTGAGTCCCCCTGCTCCTTCCTCTCTTGCCCACCACCCCTGCCTCCGTCACCCAGACTGGGACCCCTGAAGACAACAGCAATCACAAGGCCCCAGAATCCAGAGAAACACCTGTGGTCTGGGTGGTGACTCGGGTACGATGGCGCTTGCTCCCCACTTTTAGTCCCAATACATACAAGGGCATTAACCTTCTGCTAAAGCTAACAAACTGGGGATGCAAATGCTGATCTGGTTGGCCCTGTGGTCCCCCCACAACCCTGAAGATGAGAGGTGAAGAGCCAGTCTGGGGCAGGGGCACCAGAGGCCCTGCAGCATCTACCGACCTGATCATCAGCTCCCCTGCCAAGTAAATCAGGACTCTCTGCACTTTTGTAGCTCAGTCTTACAGTCCATTGACCTCTGTCTGTGAGCTACACCTGTAGCCAAATGGTGTGGGGTGTTTTGTTTTATTTTTAAGAATGAAGTCCGGAGAAATCATGGGGATAGAAAGAGGAAGGAAAATATTCTAGTAATTTCTTCTCTTCAGTCCCTCCCACCCTAGACAAGATTATATCTGCCTGGCCCCATCAATAATCATCTGTATACTAGATATGATCAAAACAGATCTTGACAATCTGCAAAGAAAATGGACTAAAGTAACAAAAAGCAATGGATTCCCCCAAGTTGGCAATGGGGAAACATATTTTGCGTCCCACTATCAGACGTCTTCTTCATGTTTGAATCCCTCCCATAATGTAGATATTGAAGATTAAGACTTGGTTTTATTAGGGGAACTCGCAGGTCTTCTCACAGATGTGGGTGCATATGGGGGTGCCTGGAAGTAGAAGTCATTATACATGGGTTACAGCTAAAGCAGTGCTTAAAGCAAAATTTATAGTCAGAAATATTTACTTTAAAAGAATAAAGACATCAAGTTAATAACCTAATTTTCCATATCAAGAACTGTAGCTAAAAGAGTAAACTAAATTTAAAGTAAACAGAAGGAAGGAAATAATAAAGATTGGAGTAGAAACTAGAGACTAGAAAGACAACAGAAAAAAAGCAGTGAAACCAAAAGCTGGCTCTTTAAAAAGATCAACAACATTGACAAACTTTTAGCAAGACTGGCCAAGAAAAAAAAGAGGAGACTCAAATGACTAGAATCAGAAATGAAAGCGAAGACATGCTACCAATCTTATGGGAATAAAATGGATTATGAAGGAATGTAATGAACAATCATATGCCAAAAAGTTAGGTAACTTAGAAGAAATGGACAAATCACCAAACTGACATAAGAAGAAGTAGACAATCTGAGTAGACTTTGAACAAGAGTGAATCATTAACCAAAAACCTACTCACAAGGAAATTCCAGATCCAGATCGAGGGAATTTTACCAAGCATTTAAAGAAAAATTAAAACCAATTACTCACAACTGTTATAAGAAACAGGAGAGAGTGTTATGGACTGCATGGTGCCCCCCAAATTCATATGTGGAGCCCCTAACCTGAAATGTGACTACATGAAGACAAGGTCTCTGAGGAGGTAATAAAGTGAGGTCTCAAGGGTAGGACCTTAACCCAGTAGGACTGGTTAGGAAGATGGCACTGGTGAGAAGAGGGAGACACCCACGAGAGCATGCATGCTCTCTCTTTCCACACACAGGTGCACAGGGGGGAGGCCATGAGGGGACACAGTGAGAAGGTGACAGTACATAAGCCGGGAAGAGAGTCTCACCAGAAACCGACCTTGACATCACCTTGAGCTTACACTTATAGACTCAAGAACTGGGAAGAAACTAATTGGTGTTGTTTAAGCCACCTAGTCTGTGGTTTTCTGTTATGGCAGCCAAGCAGACTGATGCAAGGAGGGAACAGTTCCCAACCCCTTCTATGAGGCCACTGCTATCCCAATACCAAAACCAGCCAAAGACATTGCAAGAAAAGAAAACTGCAGATTAATATCTCTTGTGAATGTGGATGCAAAAATCCCAACAAAATAGTTGCAAATCAAATCCAGTAACATATAACATAACCAAGTAAGATTTACCCCAGGAATGCAAGGTTGGTGTAACATTCAAAAATGAATTAATGTGATATACCATATAGCTATAATAAAAAGCAAAGATGGTATGATTATCTCAATAGATGCAGAAAAAGAATTTGACAAAATCCAACATCCTTTACTGATAAAAACACTCGACACACTACGGATAGAAGGGAACTTCCTCAACCTGAGAAAGGGCATGTACAAAAACCTACAGCTAACAGTTAATGGTGAAAACTAGAGACTTTTCCTCCTAAGAAGGAATGAGACAACGACACATATTCTCACCACTCTATTCATCAATTTACTGGAAAATCCAGCTGAGCAATTCGATAAATAAAAGAAGGAAAGGTATCTTAATTGGGCAAGAAGAAGTAAAACTATGTCTTCTATATAAAAAATCCTGAAGAATCCACTAAAACACTATTTAGACTAATAATTGAGTTTAATAAGGTTGCAGGATATAAGATCAAAACGCAAAAATAAATTGTATTTCAGACCAAACAATCTGAAAATTAAATTAAGAAAAAATTCCATTTATAACACCATTAAAAAGGGTAAAGTATGAATGAATTCAACAAGAGCAGTGTAAAACTAATGTTCTGAAAACTACAAAACATTGTTGAAAATTTTTCAAAGATCTAAATAAATGGAAAAAGTCCCAAGTTCATGCATCAGAAGACTTAATATTGTTAAAATGGCAATACTGCCTCAATTTATCTCAAGTCAATGCAATTCTTGTCAGAATCTCAGCTGGCTTCCTTGTAGAAATTGACAAGCTGATTCTGAAACTCATGTGGATTTTCAAGGGACCAGCAATAGCCAAAACAGTAATAAAACAGAAGAACAAAGCAAAGTATTCACACTTGCTCATTTCAACGCTGGCTACAAAGCAGTAGTAATAAAGACAGTGTGGTGTTGGCACAAGGACAGACATGCAGATCAATGGAATAGAATTAAGAGTCCAGAAATAAACCCATATGTCTTTTCAACAACTGGAGCTGGAACAACAGGATAGCCACATGAAAAACAATGAAGATGGACCCAGACTTCACACCTTATCCAAAAAGCTAACTCAAAATGGAGCAAAGTCCTAAACATAAGAGCAAAATCTTATAGAACTCTTAGAAGGAAACACAGGCATATATCTTCATGACCCTGGCTTTGGGGAGGTAGTCTTAGATTTGACACCAAAAGCACAAGCAACAAAGGAAAAAAATAGATAAATCGTACTTTATAAAAATGTTAAACTTTGCACTTTGAAAGATACCATCAAGCATACCCCATAGAGTGGGAGAAAATACTTGCAAATCATATATGATAAGGGATTTGAATCCAGAGTAACTCAACAATAAAAAGACAACCCAATATAAAAATGGGCAAAGAACCTGACTAGGCCTCTCTCCAAAGAAGATACACAAATGACCAATAAACACATGAAAACATGTTCCACAGCATTAGTCACTGGGAAATGCAACTCAAAACCACAATGAGGTGCCACTTCACACTCACTAGGATGATTGTAATCAGAAAGTCAGGTAATAACAAGGGTTGTTGATGCTTTAGAGGAGCTGAAACCCTCACACACTGCTGGTGGGACGTGAAACAGTGCAGCCTCTTTGGAAAACACTCTGGCTCTTTAAGAATAGTCACCGTGTAACCCAGCAATTCCGCTCCCAGGTATAAACCCAGGAGAAATTAAAACAGAAGTCCACACAAACATTTGTACATGAGTATTAACAGAAGCATTACTCACAATAGTCAAAAGGTGGAAACGACCGCATGGCTATCAACTGATCAATAGGTAAACAAAACGTGGGCTCTGCATACAATGGAATATTGAGGTATAAGGAAGAAATGAGCTGATAACTACTACAGCGCAAACGAGCCTTGTAATGTTACACTAAGTGAAAGAAGTTAGCCACAAAGGAACACATATTAAGTGATTCCATTTGTATGAAATGTCCTGGATAGGCAGGTCTACAGAGACAAAAAGTAGATTCCTGGTTATAGGGCATGGAGGTGGGGGACAGCGGGTGCGGGCTAACAGTACCTGGGTTTTTGAGGTGTGGAGAATCATCTACAGCTGTGGTGATGGCTGCACATATCTGTGAATAGGCTAAAAACCATTGTACGACATACGCATTACATCCTGATGAAGCTGTTTGAAAAGTCACTGCTGAAGCCCAGTTCGGTGTAGACACATTCTTGCAAGTGCTGTACAGCCAAGTCCAACAAGAGCTGCTTTGGCCACTAGCACATGGGCAGCACGCTGAGCAGCCCAAGCACCAGCACACGGCGCCTCCTGCTTTGTGGCTAGTGAAGGGCTGCCAGACACCTTCAGGAAGCTGGACTCCTCACCATCACCTCGACAGCCTCTACTGTACCTCTTCCCTCTAGGTCAGAGGGTATCATTAGGAAGATTCTAGAAAGGACCAGGCTATGAGCCATATAGCAGGCTGTTTCCTAAATGGAGCAACGAAAAGGAGAACTAACTACAGGCCAGCACCATTCCAAGCTGGTCAGCAGTAAGGCATCAGCACATTCCCTTTACTGGAAAGTTCTCATCATCTGCATAGTAAACAATCCTCTTAGCGTCCCCAGTGGCACGTGCTTTGCTATACATGCAAGGAAGCTTCTCACAGTGTCTGGCA